ACGCCATCCCACTGCACGACACCCAGGCGGCTCGCCACGACGTGCCGCTCCGCCCCCGCCCCAGAGGGCGCCTCCACCAAACGCGCGTAGCACCCGGCGCCCGCGACGACCTCCCGACCAGCCCCATCCACAACCCCGCCCGCTCCGCCAGACGGGCCGCCCACCGCCGAGCGGAACAGCACGTCCCCCGGTGCGGCCATCGCCCCGGTATCGATCAGCACCGACATGCCACAGAGATATCACAAAGTGTCACGCTCCCCAACCAAGGGCTTAATTAGCAATTACGACGGAAATGAAACTTAGAACTCTATTAGACACAACGTTCGCACGTCGTTGGGTGTGAGTATGAATTACCTTGAGAGAACGGGCACACCGCCGCATTTGCCCAGATGAGATGATGAACAACCAAAGGAGAGAAGAACATAAAGAGTCCGACTTGAGCAACGACATTCGCTTATCCATTAATCCCCTCTTGCTCCGCTAGGTGGGAATGCATGTTATGACCCACCTCCTGCTTCATGCTTTTCTCGCGCTATCCTCTATCAGGCGACGTCTAAGCGACATGCGCGTCACACGACACAACAATTCGAGAAAACAGCACAGAATAGTTAACAAATTCGAAGATGACCCCTGCCCCTGAGCCAGTCAAAGGAGGGGGACACGCAATCCTCCTCACGCCCAAGAGGCCCGCACAGGCACTACGAAAAAGGCTCCAATCGGCATGCATCACTGATCAACGCCTCGTTGACCACCGCCCCGTCCGCATCAAACAGATCACCAGGGTTCACACACAGACAGTGATATAGCAACTCCAACGTGAACACGAGGGGGTAATACGCCGGGCATCGGAGTTGCGTGGGGAACCACACCGGCAGGTCGAAGTGATCCGTCGTGGAGGTCTCCGACACCGTCTCGCACTCCACCAAAATGTGTGAGCACTGCCCCAGAAGTTCCTCCCCCAGCTGACTGGACGCGCACAGCCCCTTCGTCACGCCACACACCGAAAGATCGGCGCTGTGAGGCTTCTCCTCCCGTCGTGTCGAATCCCCCTCCGGCCTCTCAGACGGCAGCCTCGCGCCCCCGGCGCCGCACGCGCGGTCCCCCCCGTCAAACACAAAGCTGTGCATGTGAGTGCACCCCCCAGCCCGCAGTACGGCGCTGATGCCGCTGGCGACGAAGGATTGGCTCGTCAGAAGCAGCACCCTCCAAGACGCAAAAGGACGCCGCAACGGGGGCGGCGTCACACCGACGTTCCCCTTACTGTGCCGCGGGTTGATGTCGTACTCCCCCATCCGCCCAAGCAGCCAGTGGCCACGCCGCGATGAGTCGAACACGTAGCGCGGCGGCACTATGAAGATGCCCGCAGCGCACGCACAAAGATACTTCTCCGTGCGCTCCGTGATCCCTTCGAGCACCACCAGATGCGTCGTGCGGGGATTGTACGGCGTACCGCTGTCAACCTGAGACCCAAGACGCTCGATGTCCGCTACCAAGTCGCGGCGCAGCTCCTTGCAGGAGCTGCCGATTTGGAACAACCACTCATGCGGCGGGCGCGACTGCAACAGATCCCGCTCCTGCGCCTCGAGCATCGCATGGGCATGGTCGTGGTAGGAGTAATCCTCGGCCCGGTGTTTGTACTGGATGAATTGAGACTCGAGGGGGGGGGACCGCTCTGGCGTGAGCATGGCCTCGGCGCCTGGGAGGGCCGGCTCTTCTAGAGTCGACCCCAAACGCGTCTCATCCTCGCAAGGCGCCGTGTGCGTGAGTGCGCTGGCCCGCTCTATGACCACGGTGCCCTTGGCAGAGTCGGCACGCGCGCTCGTACGCTTTCTGCTCCCGCCGATAAAGATTCGTGGAGGATTCGCAGACTCCTGGAGTTCGCGTCGAGATACCAACGTCACAGAGCCTGGCACCGGTGGTGCGGTAGCGCCGTCACCGCACATCAGTTGTGTTTGATGAGATTGTGGGGTGCCCTGAATGGTTGAAAGGAATCCCATAGGATCGAAACCCAGGGTCGGCATTTCATCTAGTTTACTCAACAGGGAATTAAGCTCAGCATCGGCCTCATCGAGCCCGTTGTCGTCAATACCGAGCGCAACATCAGAATGTGCCTCGACAGCACGCGATTTGCTGGAATGCTGCCACAGCGCCGAGGCATCGCTGCCCCCTTTACGCCTCGGGGGAACCTGTGTATACTCTTCAACCTGCTCCTTGCGTATGCAATATATACGAGAGTTCTCCGCACGAGGCAGCGGCGTTACGAGGAAAAGGCAACCTATTAGTATAGCCATGGCCTCCTCCATATCCCTCGCCATCTTAGGCAAAACTACCGCTGTTGCATGCAGACGATCCGTCAGAATATGCAGAATCTCCTCGCGGTCAGGAGCCAAGTATGCTGAAGATATTGCAAAGATTACCTTAAATGAATTAGACGGGTGAGACGGGCCAGCTCCCAATTGTGCTCTGGGAACAACAAGACGCGTCGAAAGGGTTGAAGAGGCCCCAGTGGTCCCCCTCCCCTCAGAAGCCTCCATCGTGGCTTTGGCACCGGGTGAATATAAGGGGATAAAGTCCTTAAGGGAGTGGCCCTGTTGTCGATGCACGTGTAACGGCAGCCACCTCAAACTTCTAATAGTGGAATGAGCGACCTTCGACAATTTCAGATACGGATCAGTGCTTGAGGATGGTAAAGGTTGTTGTTCGTGTTTGCTTTCATTTGGTTGGACCTGGTTTTCACGATCTAAAAACTGAAGAAGTTGCTCCACCTTTTCAAGAAATTCGAAAGAGCTCTCAAGTTGATGGACGTAAACACTCTCAAACAAAAAGATAAAGAGGTTTTTCATCGCACGTAGCGTATTTAAATAGGCACCTAGAATCGTACTTCCCAAAGATGCAGCGGCATTCGGAGTCATCTTCACGGAACTTAGTGCAATAGCGGATTCTACTTGAGGTATGAGTGCACGAAAGGTCGAATTGATCCCTTGATTCTGCTCAATAAGTCGTTTTTGTAGTGCACGTAACGCCCCAAAGCCCTCCTCGAGATGAACGGGCAGTGCTGGCTCGCTTCCAACTCCTATTCGATGCTTTACAGCGGAGGCTTTGGACTCATCGAGGTTTTCCTCATCACAAACTAAAAACTGAGGATCGTTCTCCATCGAGCATACGCATTCAAAAATGAGGGCGAAAGGCTAAGAAGAAAATGATTGGAAAAGTTTGATTTCTCAAATTAAATGTGCCGGCAGCAAGTGAATAAACACAAATAGTGAGTAAACTGAAAAGAGAAATAAAAAGGAACAGCGCTCAAGCGTTTTTTTATATCACTGAAGCAACAAAATGGGCTTAAAATATTCTCATTCACATGATAACACGTCACTAATTCCGAAACCAGTCTTTCTAATACACCGCAATTCCTGTTCTAGTCAAGCCAGATGATTTTAGTTCTTTTGGTGAAGAAATTGCTCGTGTACACAACATCAACCCGCATAAAGCAACACAAAGCAAGATTTATCAAGAATATATATATATATATGAATGAGGTTAAGTATATAGTCCCCTCTTTCTTCTCTGATGCATTACCAATAGCAAGATTCGCATTGCCGATGTACCGTAGAGATAACAAGACGAGCTGTTTTCGTCATAACTCTCATCGTGCGATCGTACCACAAACGCAACCGTGGAGGCGAGCACACACGTGTAATTGTTCACCCCTGAACTTGAAGAACAAAAGTGGTCAGCCAGTAATCGATGAAGGTGGGATCGTAGAGGAAGGGGGCTCCATGGGGGGCTCCGGCATACGATTTCTACGCGTTTTGGAAACTTCGACGTAAATGGCGACGAGGATGAGGAAGATAAGAATTGAGATGATACCAAAGAGAATGAGTTTATGCTTGATCATTGCACGTTGCATTTTCAATAGAATTTTGCGCGACTCAGAGACCTCGCTGTCAACGTTGACGACGGTCTCTTGGATTTGCCGCATGGACTCGGTTTGCGTCCGCAAGTTAGTGAGGGTCTCGTTGCCTGACATCTCAGTGTCGTTCAGCAGGCGTTCAGCATGGAGGAGGGTCTTTGACGCATCCTCATACTTTTTGGTGTTATCCATCATTTGCGCTCGGTATTTTTGTGTCTCGATATCCATCTCATTCCGGTCATCACCGGCGAGGCCGCTGCTGGCGGTCGGATTCATCCTTTCCTTCGAGCCGCCGAGTAAATTCTGCCTATCCGCGGCGCTCGCTTCAACTTTCATCTTTGCAACAGTCTTTTCCAGATTTTGTATGTCCTCCTTGAACCTGTCAATGCGCCCCTTGCACGCCTTCTGTAGCGCCACCGGGAGGTCGCTGCATTCATAGTTCATGTTAACTACGAGATCCTTCATCTGTGCGATAAGATTGGATAAGCTGGCGCACCGTTGCTGGCGGCTTGAGATACCAGAAGCGGGGGGTGCGGTGTAGCCTGCAGATCCACGTTGCAATGTTCCTTGCAAAACATCTAACTCATCGTGAAATCTCTTGCTAATTTCATGATATTCGTCCTCATAGCTTTGCATAAGCATGGCCATCACCTAGATAAATATAAGATTAAAAACGAAGGATTATGCACTAAGCACAAAAAAGAGGACGTCAATACTATCAGGGCAGTTGCAATAAGAGAACAAGCAATAAAATGACTCAAGAAATGTGGCAAAAATGAAGGCATGAACTGCATTAGGAAACACCTCAAAAACATCATCACAAGAGCCCGAATGTCACATACACCGAGCCCGATAGCATGATCAAATGCCTGGAAAGCAATTGAAATATATATTTGTGTTCTTATCAATGTTTCCTATTTCTTACATCGCCGATCTATGAATATGGGATTCGCTCACGGAATACCGCTAGCGTTGAGGTCACTCCACAATCATTCAATGCTGACAAAGAAGCAGTGAAATAAGCTTAAAAAGAAATGGAACTAGATAAATAAAGGGTCAACTTTCTACAGCAACCCGTTTTGGTTGGACCAAATCCAGTGAAATTAGAAATACACATAGCCCACTCAGTCCATCTGAAGTGTAAGCAAACTGGCTTCCTCCCACGCATATATACTTCAAAAAAAAATCATAACTGATCAAAATGGTGGAAAAATAGCAGGCACAAGCAGTACCTCCCCCCTAGGCCTCATCTAACGGTAGATAATGAACAACAACATAAAGAGAACCATAACAACTATCATCCCACTCAGTAATAACTTCCGTCGGAGGGCAACACTTTGCATTCGGTTGATAATTTGCCGCGATGCAAATATTTCAGTATCTATGCCCGATGCTATATTTCCGATGTAGCCTATTTGATCCGTCTGAGCCCTCAGCGTGTTTAGTGATGTGCGGCCCGACTCCTTGCTTTGCTCCAGGTACGCCTCTGCCTTTAACAAGGTAGATGTGCCCGATTGCAGAGCTGCAGTTGTCTGAAGAGACATCAGTCGATGTGTTGCAACCTCAGGATCACATTCATCCCGTATATCCGCATTGATGTCAGAACCCTCAAACCAAAGCAAGTCTTTCCGCTCCGCAGCTGTACAGGCCTGCCGAAGCCATGAAGCCCTCTCCTCAAGCGCGACGACATTCTTCTGATAACTAGCGATTAAACCCTTGATGTTCGCACGCTGATATGGATCGCTCAGATCGTTCATCTCATAATTCATGCTCGAGATTAAATCCTTAACGTGAGCTAGCAGCTGCAGCACTTCTCGGAGCTGGTACGAGCGGCTGGACAGGCCAACGGAGGGTGGCGGATGGTAACTCACAGCTGGGTCGCTTTCATGGGCATTTTGCTTTAGGATGGAATCCTGGAGTGTGTCCATGGTATCAGTGAGAAGCCGAATGCATCTCTGAAAGTCTTCTTCATACGAATCAAGCAAGCTGGACATGACCCCTCTGTCGTCAGGAAATCCTCGATTCAAAAGAAAAATCGAAGGAAACCGATCTCTTGTCTTTAGTTCGTCTTGAACAGTGATCGGTATCCCGTCCCTATGTGGAGTCAATAACACGACCCGCAAGAAAAAAGACAATTAACGCTTGCGATGACTATAAGTTAGAGTAATAATAGCAATTTAACCAAGAAGTATGGCTCTCTGAAAGATAGTGAAGCATCAAAACAACTCCTCAAAGAGCAAAATAGCAAGCACATGACTTTTGAGTTGTTCGTACGTAGCTTAGACTTCTCTAGCTCCCCTTTTTGAATGTGTGTCACATACGAATTAATGGCTAGTACATTGATAATAATATTTAGAGTATGAATATACTATGTCCGTTTTTAGTTTCTTATTTAAACATGGCAAGCAAACATAGGTGTTTGTACAGCTGCAGCAAAAAAAAAAGCAAATAATTCCACTCATTTTCCCTTAATCATCCAACCATTCTGAAAGTATTAAGCACACATATTGTGTAGATAGTTCATACCTGCCAATACATGAATAAAAAGGTAAATATTGAATATTAATGATAGGCGGATTCGGTTTATTGAACGTAGAGTATGTCTATTTTTTCCCATCCCATTATCACTCTCTAGTGCCTTGGGTAACCTCGAAAAATGTGACAAATGAAATTTTCCATAGTATGAAAGAAAAAGGCGTGTGAAGGGTGGAAATTTCTACATATTGAAGAAAATAAAAAAACGAGAAAGTTGTCCGAAACAAAAGAGATGAATCCGATTTCGAAGTTTTATGCGTGAGTATCTGCACTAAATCCTTCTCACAGAATCGCCGCCCCACCTCATCCCCACCCCCTCCCTGGACCCACAACAACCACACACACTCGCAGGCCATCTCATTCGAACTGCAGTGGGATCCACATTTTTCCACGGATCCTACAGAACTGCTCCCATTAAGACTGTACACCACCTAAAAATTCGATGTTAAAAACTGCACTGGTTTATGGTCATGTCCTCTAGTGCAGGGTAAAGCAAAAGCTCACCACCACCATCTCCTACCCCACCCCTTCTGCTATTGCTCCATTTACGCAGAAGTGGGTACAGGAGGTACAGACCCCTCTCTCAAGACTCAGATGAGGCAATAATAACCTCTTGATTGCACACTGGGCATCGCTTGTCCATTTGAAGCCACTGCTTAATGCAATTTAGATGAAAAATATGCCCACAATTTTTCATGCAAACACACGGGCGTGGCACCACCGGTGAGGCGCCGCCGTCGTTCTTCCTCTCCGATGCGCCATCCTCTCGGCTGTGGCCCCCGTCTGAAGGGGCAGGCTCCTCCGGCTCCTCACCCTTAAAAGCATCCAAGCAGATCACGCAGCTCCCCTCGGTGGGCGGTCTTGACAGTCGCCGCATGCACGAGATCATCTCCTTATCCGAGCTCACACCCTTACTGACGTTACCGATGCGCTCCTCAAGGGCAAGCAGCTCCTCATAGCTCATGTCGTCGATATCCCGATCCAGGCCCATGTGCTGCATCGTCAGCAGCTGCTGCACCTCCTGGAAGATCGGCATCCGGGATAACAGCATCGACATCTGGCGGCTATCCCACACGAAGCCGGAGCCCGAGGGCGGTGCCTCCTCCCCCTCCTCCGCGTTCGCGCCGTCGAACCTCGTGAGGATGGGACCGATCAGGTCGTACATCTCAATCGCGTTGCGCAGGACGCCGGTGGTGAAGTCCATGCGCACGCTCCCAGGGCCCTGTGAATCCCGCGGCGGCGTCGGCTCGAAGGGGCTCTCCATCTGGGCCCCTCCCAAGATTAGCGGGGGGACCTGGCGGGTGCGCACAATATCGTTGATAATCTCCCGCTGCGTATTCGGCGTCATCGTGCGTATTGATGCCTTCAAGTCATCGTCCACGCCGAGGTGCTCCAACTCCCTCTCGAGGCCTGAGTTCTCATCCTGATCCATCAAGTCCACGGATAAGTTGATATCGCTCACGTCAAGCTCCTGAGAGCTAGGCGCACCCCCACTCACGGTGGGGCGGTGCTCTCTAATATCCGACATGTTTTGAACCGATTCGGAAGATACAGAAGTGGGTGTGGAAGCGTTCTCATCTCGATCAAGAGATCCTGTGCGCTCTCGCTTTGTCATATCCACCATAATTAAAGATGCCTATGTGATACTGGAATGCCAAAATGAAAACCCGAAGAATCAAAATATCCTACTCTGTTGTTCGGTTGGTTCGTCCTTGTGCTGTAGTGAGAAGAACTAGAAAAAGGGAAACAATGCAAGGAAACAGAGGCATACCTAAAAGAATTCATACACATGATCCACGCAGCTCTCCCATGCGAGCAAAAAAAAAAAGAGGGGGAAAGGAGGCCTTTTCGCTTATTTGCACGTGTCCTAGCCTATTTTCAGATAGGAGGAAACGAATTCTATGTTTAATAATACTCCTAGCAATTGGTTTATTGATGTCATTGGGTAGACGACATCACCACCGGCACATTTTCCTATATTCAGCCATATTGGATCGCTCGAAAACCTTACCGGCTGCGGCGGCATGCCTCTCCGCACGACGCTGCACACGAGCAGCTGCCGTATCGGCGACCGCGCGCCGCTGCGCACGTGCCATTTCCACACGTTGCTCAATAGCCGCATCGCGAGCAGCCGACCTCCCACGCAGTTGCATACTCTGCTCAATCCATCGGAGGTCCGGCTCGGTCAGGCTGCAAAATTGCGATCGAAGAAGAGCGGGCAGGGCGGGTTCCTCCGGCGCGGCCTGAAAAAGAGGCCTGCCGTAGTGCGCGCGTTTGTACTGGCAGTTGGGGCTGGGCAAGGGTGCGCTGCACAATGAAGCCTGGGCGGCCCCTTCAAGGCTGCTCCTGAAGGGCACAGACCCATTCTCAGGGTCCAACAATGCGCGCATTCTCACAGCGCGGCTGCCCTCAACAACAATAGAGGACCAAAAGAAATGATGATTTGCGATAAAATTTATTTTTTGATGTCCTCCTTCCTTTTATGTGAACTGTAAATCTAACGCTCTAGGGATGCTTTCTGGGTTTTCCATTTGGAATCAAACGGGAAAAAGGGGAATTATACATGGATACCTGTAGCAGATGCTCGGTGAAGGAAACACGTCTATAGCCAAAGCGTACGATAAGATCATGTTTACAAAGAAAAAAGAAAAAAACTAAAATGTATTTGATAAGAAGTTGCCCTCTTCCGCTTCTAGTCTTTTTAACCTCCACCGTCGTGAGATAATCAAAAAATATGAAATAGGAGCATCACACACGATATTCCTTTCTATGCAATGGCAATGGATGACACTTTTGTTTCCTCCTCCCCCCCCCCCCCCCCACACACACACAGCCGACTGGGTTAATCCTCAGCAACTCCTCTGATGGATCACATTCAGCGTCAGGTGCAGCGTGCCGACGCCGTCAGTCGTGAGGCCGAGCTTCACCCCGATGCCCGTCTGCCCCGAAAGAGGGGGTCCGCTCTCCCAGGCATCAACGAGACTGGGCGCCCCACCCACGAGCGCGGATTGAACGTACTCCTCTCCCGTACGGTGCGGCGCCCACATCGGCGACTGAACGCGATGCCTCCCAGGCACCGCAGAGGGCAGGGAGACGCAGCAATACCCCACCGAGGACGGAGGGTCGCCCCCGTCGGAGCCCTGCGAGAAGGCGGTGACCACAAGCCTCACCAGCCCCGTCGCGCCGGGCCCGTCGGTGTAGACGAACTCAAACGGGGTGTTGAAGACGTGCTCCACCTCGACGACGCCGTCCGCCGTGAGGACGCGGCCCGCCCAGGCGAGCTGCGTGGCGAAGGCCACCCCCCCCCCCTCCCCGTCCCGCCGCATCTCACAGCG